TACGATCTCCTCACTGAGTGTCGGAGGATGCTTCCTCAACGACAAGAAGCGCTCGGAGCTTCTCTGCAGCTCAGTCTCTCTCCCTCGCCTCCCTCCCTCCCTCCCTCCCTCCCTCCCTCCGCCTCCCTCCCTCCCTCCCTCCCTCCCTCCCTCCCTCCCTCCCTCCCTCCCCTCCCTCCCTCCCTCCCTCCCTCTTCCTTCTTCCTCTCCCTCTCTACCTCTCCCCCTCCTCCCTCCTCCTCCCCTCCTCACTTTGCCATCACCTCCTCCAGCGCATCAGCTTCCTACCGATGCTTCCGCGTGACCAGCACGTCCTTCGGTCAAGTCACGCCTCCATCTTCCTTGACTCGCTCCTCGTCAACGCGCACACAACCGCCCTCGACGTCGTCTGGTCCTCCCTGCCGCTAGTCACAACTCCTCATGGTGAGGAAGTTTGAGGGGGAGGCAACATGAACTGAGCTTCTCTCTCGTCCTCCTCCTCCTCCTCCTCCTCCTCTCTATTTTCTTCCTCCTCCTCTCTATTTTCTTCCTCCTCCTCTCCATCCTCCCCTTTATCTTCCACTCCATCCGCCTCCTCTTCATCCTCCTCCTCTTCTTCGCTCCGCGCTCTCAGTTCGGTTCGCATCACGAGTGGCTTCATCGATCCTCACAACGACCAAGTGCGACTGAGCTGAGGTGTTGGGCTGCTGTTGTGTTAACCGCTGCCACAGGTGTACAGCAACCATCGCAAGGAACACAGAGGACTACGTTGATGTCAGCATCAACCTTGCTAGCTCAAAGCCCAAGATGAAGGAGATCAGAAGGTCTTTATTCTACATCTCAGCTCTTGTTCTTCACCTGTCAATCTCGCATCCCTCGTTCCCTGCTCATCCCAGGCACGTCCTCCTTTGTCATACCTGACCCTCACACGCAGATGCTACTCTACATGTCACGATTTACAAAATTCCTCGACTCCCAACACCCTCTCCTCCTCCTCCTCCTCCTCCTCTGCATCTACCAACATTTCTCTCTCCCCCAAGCATCCTTGCATGCTCTTCGACACGAAGCGATGGGTGGAAGACTTCGAGCGTCTCCTGCTCCTCTCCTGGGAGACACACGTGATGGTGAGTTTGAAGTGACGCGATGAAAAGCTGATGGCCATCAACTTCATCATCATTATCAACGACTTCATCATCATCATCATCATCATCATCATCATCATCATCATCATCATCATCATCATCATCATCATTATCAACGACTTCATCATCATCACCACCATCATACTACTACTACTACTCCTCCTCCTCCTCTTTGACTCTCCCCGCTTATCCTCTCTCCTCTTGTTTGGCAGGGAAGAGCCTTGGACCGGTGCTCCCATATCAAAGTTTCATGACAGCAGGGAAAATCTGCTTACTGGATGAGGAGGGAGGGTGGGTGAGTGGAGGAGGAAACTTGGTTAACAGAAACAGAAACAAAATTCATTAAGGAGAAGATCGAATAAGAATGATCCAGGCGATGGCCGTGTAGAAAAGATAAACCTGCTCTTCCGTCACAACGAGGTCAAATTCCCTCCTCGTCCATCATCATCACCACCACCACACCATCAGCGGCAGGAGGAAGAGGAGGAGGAGGAGGAGGAGGAGGAGGAGGAGGAGGAGGAGCAGCAGCAGCAGCAGCAGCAGCAGCAGAAACATTATCCCAATGAGAATCGAATCTCTCATCCATCTCACCGGATAAGCCGCCAGGGCAGCTCGTTTTGGAGATACAACTTCGTTGAGGAAGCCAACAGAAGCTGCGACGAAGGAGCAGATGAGGAGAAGAGAGCAGAGCAGAGAAGAGAAGAGAAGAGAAGAGCAGAGCAGAGCAGAGCAGAGCAGAGCAGAGCAGAGCAGAGCAGAACGCAGAGCAGAACGCAGAGCAGAGAAGAGAAGAGAAGAGAAGAGAAGAGAAGAGAAGAGAAGAGAAGAGAAGAGCAGAGCAGAGCAGAGCAGAGCAGAGCAGAGCAGAGGAGACTTACCGCGTGACGCCCAAATAAGACCTGAAAGAGAAAGTGAGAGGGGTAAAAGAGAAAGAAGAGGAGGAAGGGCAGAGAGCGAAGAACAGAGAAGGGAAAGAAGAGGAGGGTAAGAGATGAGAGGAGAGGAGAGGAGAGGAGAGGAGAGGAGAGGAGAGGAGAGGAGAGGAGAGGAGAGGAGAGGAGAGGAGAGGAGAGGAGAGGAGAGGAGAGGAGAGGAGAGGAGAGGAGAGGAGAGGAACAAGAGCAGGTGAAGGAAGCAAGGGAGGATAGGAGGAAGGTGCCCAAGGGGACAGATGGAGAAGACTGCATCACCGATGGCAGTCATTCCAAACCTAACAAGAACACATGCTGTCTTCTTGCATTTCATCCAGCCCACAGTCATACAGATCTGCCGCCCCTTGTCAACGAGGGGACAGGCGAAGGCTCCTCAAGCAGCAGCATCACCAGCGCAGAAATCACCAGCGGGAAGACGCAGTACCCCAATACACAGATACTCTGGAAGAACGACCTGAACAAGACAGACTTCACTGCACTGCCACTGTCTTCTCGCTTGCAACTCACACTGTCCCTCCCAGCAAGACAGCATTCACAGTGACAACTGCTGCACCGCACCTGCCCAACAAGTGAGGAGGAGGAGGGGGGGGCGCAACAAGGAGAGCAGGAGGGACGTCACCAGACGATGACGAAGACGGAGGCGAAGACAGGAGCTGACTCGTCCTCGTCTCCCATCCCATGAGCATGAGAACTCCCGCTGCTCAATGTGCTGCAAGGAGACGAAACAAGGTGAGGTCAGGTCAGGAGCAGGCTTTCGCCCGCAAGGGACAACATTACATGGCGAGGATAAGGCAAAGGAAAAGAGGGCCCCACAAATCCCCTGTACAAGAGTCATCCAGCCAGCACCGTTCGTCATCCTTGCTCCCTACAGTTCTTGAGCTCCTTCTTGGAGTCGCTTCCAGGTAGAGCAACCTGGAAAGGAAGGGATGGTGGTGATGAAATGAGCATGCAGGATGGGGTTGATAAGAGGAGAAGGGGACGGGGGTAGAGGCACCTTCCACATCTTGTCCCCTATCGTCCGCAGCTCTCGTTTCAGCGTCTCCATCACTGCAACAATCTTTCATGCTAGGATCAAGCCGAGGAAGCGTCAAGGACCAGGTTCATCCAAGGTTGTTTCTTCAAGCTTTCATTGCATCAGTCACAAAGAGATGTTGAGATGGCATCATGGCTTACCGGCACCTGCATGCTTGACATCGGGACTAGCAAGTAGGCTCTGCCAACCATCACGATGTTATTATCAAATAGCTTCAATCATCCTTATAAAAAGCAACCATCACATCTATTGCTACGTCGCATCTTTCCTTCACCTCCACCTATAGCCTGCTCCTTGGTTGTCAATCTCCTACTCTGATTCATTCGAGCCATTCTCATAGGCCTTGCTTGGCGCCATTTCCCTCCTCCTCCCCCTTCCCCTCAGCTTCGCCATATCGCCAGCAGGGCAGCATCATCATATGGAGTTGGGGGCAGCGTTGATACTAGGAAACAACAACATCCGGAAAGTTTATCGCTGCCCTCACTCGGAAGGACGCCGTACTGAGGCAAGCCTGATATTTCTGCCTCCCGGCCGGATCACTGGCATCACTAGCCGGCTGAGTCACAGCGGCGGGCCCCCGGGCCGCGCCCTGCACGCCGGTGCGGCTGACTGAACTGAAGCCTCCGCAAGGCCCGCGAGGCCGCCCGAGTGCACTGGCGACGGTCTACATCCGGGGATATTCTTTACTCAAAGTTAAGTTAAAAATCAGTACGAGGACACATCCGGGGAGTCCGCCGGGAGGGCCCCCCAGGCCCCGGCAACTCCGGTGACCGGCAAGTCAAGTTCCGGTCGGGCCGAGTCCCGGCGGCGGGGCTCACTCAACTTGCGATTCAAGAGTCCCGGTCCTGGCCGAGTCGGGGGGAGTGTTGACTTCTCGCAGTACCCCCACCCCTCACCCCCCACCCCCCATGTCACGCTCAATCATTTGACTTTTGAAGGGGTCATTTAATCCTATGATTGGACCCCTCCTATGCGGAACTGTGTTCCGACAACCCCCCTCCCCCCCAACTACGAGTCAACCGTGACCCCCTTCCTTAGAGCCATAAAACGTTCCCACTTCACTCCTCCCTTTTTACATTCCTCCTTCTCCCGCTCCCCGCCTCCTCC